AAAGAAAAATTTCCTCACAGGTGTACCCAGCCACTTGGGTTTTTGTTATTCCAGATATAGTCAAGTTGACAACCAAGAATAGCCATCATAGGCTCTTAAACTGAAAGAATTTGCAAAATGTCTTCAGAATCATTAATTCACTTTGCTGTAGCTTTTTTATTTAAAAAAATGTTTTTTTTCAAAAAGCTTTCAGATGTTACACTCTGAAAACAATCTATTTTTAAGATTTTATTTTAATTTCTAATGTATGTATATGCATGGGTGAGTATATACATGAGTTCAGTGTCAATGAAGGCCAGAGAGGGCGTCGGGTCCTCTGGAGCTGGAGTCCCAGGCAGTTGTGAGCCTCACAGTATAGGTGCTTGGAACTGAACTTCAGTCCTCTGCAAGAATGGGAAGCATTCTTAACTGCTGAGCGTCTCTCCAGCCCCACAATATGTTTAGTATCAGAAGCACACAATATTTTTAATGTCAGCAGCTGGAGAGACAGCTCAGCAGTTAAGAGTGCTTCCTCCTCTTCTGAGGACCTGAGTTCAGTTCTTAGTACTCACCTCTGGTAACTCACAACGGCCTGTTAACTCCAGCTCCAGTGGGGATGCAGTACTCTCTGCTGGCCTATCTGTGCACCTACACACACACACACACACACACACACACACACACACACTGCACAATTAAAAATAAAATAAATCTTTAAAAAAAAACCATAAACAAACATAGAAGCAGGGAGGCTAAGATGTAGCTACATTAATGGAGTACCTGAAGTATGCACAAAGTACTAGGCTGGACCCCCAGCACTGCATAAAACTAACCATCATGGTACACTCCTGTAATCCCAGAACTCTGGGGGTAAAGGCAAAAGGATCAAAAATTTAAGGTCATGCCAGGCGTTGGTGGCGCTCGCCTTTAATCCCAGCACTTGGGAGGCAGAGCCAGGTGGATCTCTGTGAATTCAAGGCCAGTCTGGTCTACAAAGTGAGTTCCAGGAAAGGTGCAAAGCTACACAGAGAAACCCTGTCTCGAAAAACAAACAAACAAACAAACAAACACACAAACAAATTAAGGTCATTCTCTAGTATTATAGCAAATATTGAGGCAAACTTTGGCTACATGAGACCCTGTCTAAAAAAATAAAATTTAAATTAAAAAAAAAATATATATATATCAGGACACAGTCTTAGGTCTTCTAAAAATGCAGTAAGAATAAAAACAAAGGCCAGGCAGTGGTGGTAAATGCCTTTAATGCCAGCACTTGGGAAGCAGACTCAGGC